TACACACTCAGTGCTCTACTGCAGTGAACATGGAGAAAACCAGAAGGACAGGTGTTTTAGACTATGTGAGCAATAGCTTGAGATTTAGAGAGTTTCTCACCAGGAAATGTTTGGTGTTCTTAGGCGGTTGGTGTTCTTTTCCAGTGTCTATGGTGCGCTCATTCCTGGAGGATTATGAGTATAGAAATAATCTTCCTCACCAGCCATTTGGTGCTTCTTCTTCCTCCTTCTCCTCCTCCTTTTCCCAGCAAATAGAAATCATGTAATTTCTGCCTCTGACCGTTAAGTCTACAGTTAGCACTAGACAAACCAAACCCATAGTGTTCTCTCACAAGCCCTCTTTCGAAGCCAGTTTCCCCCATTGGCAACAACCTGACAAGAGTTGGCCTCTCCGCCTTAATGGACCCCAAAGGGAACATTATCTTGACTAATTACATGACGGCATGTGGCGAGTTCGGGGACTGTATAGCATCTCATGGTTTTGAAATGTGTGGTTAAAGACATCTAGAGTTGACAGACTAGTTGGGGATTTGTCAAGAGTATTAATTACAGACTTGGAAATCTAGTCAGTTGCAGTCTGTCTTGTCGCATCTTGAAATGTGATCAAAGTCTTTTCAGTCCTTATTTCATGGTGCCTAACCACAGTGCGTGAAGAACAAAGCTTTTCATTAGAAATCACAGGTACAATAGGGCACATTTTTAAGGAAGAGGGCCTGAATGTGCCCTCCCCGCCACACTTCTTTCCCCTCTCCCCCTTTCATTTGGGAGTCACTATAGTTTCTGAACGCCTGAGATGGTTTTGGAGGGGTGTTGCAGAAAAAAATCAGTACTAAAATATGGGCAGCACACAAGGACAAGGGCGGGGCCCATAAAAGTGGTTTTTAAAACCATGAAAATAAACTATGAAGCCTGGAGGTTGTTGTGATTTAGTCAAAGAAATGTATAGCTAGCTTTATGAAGACTTGAAAAAAATGTCAGAGTTGTAGTATGTAGCTACTTTGGGGAAAGAAAAACAGGCCTCTGCCCTTGTTCAGATCTAGAAAAATAATCCTTTATTTTCTCTGCCTTGGATGTGGTGTGTGTGTGTGTGTGTGTGTGTGTGTGTGTGTGTGTTGGCATTCAAATCACAGAAAATGAAATAGAAACAGCCAGCCAGTGCAACTTCTCCAAAGCTCTAGCCTGCCACAGCCCCTCCTTTCTGGGAAGTCTATCGGGATGTACCTACCGTGGCTAGCAGAGTGCGGACCGCTAGTCCGTTTACCACTGTTGGAGAGCACGGAAAGTGATGGGCGGCGCTTAGCCTTGGCTTGCTTGGTGGTCCATCCAGTCTTGGACCCTCGCTCCCTGCCTTTCAGGCTCTCTTGGCACCTTCTGCCGCTCCATCTTTTCAGAGACTCTTCTTGTCAATTGCCTCTACGCGCCAGAGGGTGGCACTCCAGAGGTGGAGAAGAAGGGCGGGAAGAAGAAAAGGGAGCTAAGAGGAGGCAGTGTTAATTCTCAGACTTTGGTCTCTTAGTTACCAAGATAATCTTGGGAAAGAGCTCCAACCCATAAACCCTTAGCAGAAAAACCTAGATTTCGGCAGGACCTGGGGGTCAGAGACTTAGAAATTTTAAAGAAGATACAGGTTTATTTGAAACAATAACTTCCTGTGTTGTGGAGAATTTCAGCCCTTGTGAGTGATTGGGGGCGGATGGAAAGTCCTCCGTGAGCGCGCCCACATCCGACCTGTCCCTTTGTGTTGTGTTTTGCAGTTGCTGGATTTGTGCGAGTCCGTGAAGGATGACGCCCTGAAGGTGATCTCTGCCTTTAACATTCCACACACCAACCTCCATGCACCAATCGCAGGAATTCCCAACCCCCGGGCTGCCTGGGCCTTCTACCCCGCGCCTACGCCAACGCTGGTGCGGGAAGGGGCGCGCTCCCAGCTGTCCAAACTGTGAGCCAGACTATTAACCAGCAGGGCAAGAAATGTAGTGGCCCGTCCGCAGCTTGCCATGGAGTTCCCTTCAAATACTCCCAGAGTAGGAGCAGGGGCCAAAGTGACAGGTGCACGACCACCATACTCGGGGGTTTTGGGTCACGCAGAGGAGGAGATCTGGCTAAGGTTGACAAGGCTCAGGACAGGTTATGGGGAGGAGGACGGGGGGGGGGAGGGGCGGGAGAAGGAGACTAGATGGAAACCCGGGGAGTACAGTGATTTATCCTGGTCTGTTAACCTCTCCTGGCCCTTGCCTTGACCTCTCCCAGCCGCTGCGCTGGATCCTCAGACGATTCGGTGGTCTTGCCCAGAGCCTGATGCCACCAAAGACCTTTGCTGTCATCAGTGACTCAGATTCCAAGTGACTTCGAAAAACTCTGGTGCTGGGGGAAAAAATCAAAACATAAAAATCAAACACCCTCGGGCAAAAGAGGCGGAGGAAAGCTCCCAAGTGCGGGCAAAAGTTCAACAAGGGGTGCTTAGTGAATCAGACTTGCTTCAAGCTCTGCTAGAAAACGGGCTGGCGAGAGAGAGGGGAGCGTGATCCTGGAGTCGAGCTGGTCCCACCAGGTAGGCGATCTCCGGACCGCAGGACGACGCGCGACAAACGTTTCATAGCACTACACTATAATCTGCCCTTTAGAAAAGCGTAGACGCAAGGTTTAATAAGTTAAGCGATAGAAAAATGCTCCCGCAGCTTGGAGGGGTAGGGGACGCGGGCCTGGGGAATCGCTGCAATAAACTGGTTTTGGAATTTGGAGAGATTGCACAGGCGGAAATGAATTTCTCATTTATGTCCTGACTTTGGCGTTGCCCGGTTTCACTCTTAACTCTAGCTATCGTCTCTCTTCCTTCTCTCTATATCGCGTTGCCAGCCTCGGGAAGGCACGGGTGACCCACTAGCCCTTCCCACGTTGCTCTTCTCTGCCAGCAAATTGATCCCAGGAGTTCTTCTGACACTGCGGGGGGGGGGGGGGGGAGGCTACAAGGGCCCAAGGGCTCGCAGCCACCTGTCGTGAGGCATTTGGTGGAAGCTCGCTAAACTGCCATATTCTCCGGTGATGCAAAGAGCCTCCACTTCCAGACCATCTCCCTGATTAAGTCCTAAATAAGAGCACATAGCCCAGTCTGTTGCTTTCCCCAGTGCCTGTATGGTTTCTTTTAGCGTGCCCAGAGTTGCAAAATCGGTAGACTCCTGGGTAGCCTGCTCCTACAAAGAGAAGGGGCGATAAAGACTTTCTTTTTTCTTGTGTGGTTCTTTTCTAGCCCGATTTGGAGGTGCCGGCTCCCGGCCAAGAGCGCGGAGCAGGCAGACTTGTTATTGGCCGAGGACTCTAGGAGCAGTAGCAGACCGGGTTGCATGGGTGGGATGCGGAGTGGACAACGCACAGCGCTAACTCGCAGCCTTGGTCAGGATAGAACTGGATCTGCCGCTGCTTGGCTGCATCCACGCCAATGCCCTGTGCGCTCTTGTAGCGAACACCCCTCACCCACAGAAGGGACATGGCTTTGCCGTGAGTCCCCCAGCTCCCCTGGGAACCAGTGGCTTCTTTGATCTCTCTCAGGATTCACCTGAGAACCAAGACTTTAACCCAGGGCTGTGCTGTGTCACGCTGACGTTAGAACCGCCTATAAACACCGAAATGACCAAGATGGTTCGAAGTTGGGACGATAGATCGCGTCACTTGTTCATGAAAAGGTCACTTCCTTCTCTCTGCCAGCCTGGATGCAGGCTGGGTAGTCCTTAAATCGAGTTTCTTTAATCTTCACACTTAGGATGCCGGATGTTCCATTTCCAGAACAACTTCTCCAGGTGTCCGCGGTGAGAGAGTGAAAGGGGTTGGGGGTGGGGTGTGTGGCACCATTGACTTCAAGACTTCGACTGGGTACACGAAGGCCTCAGGAGGATCAGGGGATTTTTCGACTCCCATATGGCTTTGCCAGCACAACCCGAAATCTGCTGCTCCGTCCGCAGTCGCCAGCTTCAGCCGGCTGATGGACAATTCTTGGCGGTAGTCTGAGCCCCCAAAATTTAAAGACATAACGCACGGCACAACCGTCTTTCCTCAGTAGACCATCCCCATTTTTCCTTATAGTTATCCTTTTATAGTTTCTTTCTCATTCCCTATTTTATATGCTTGTCGTGCACGCCTATTGCGACCCGAAGCTGAGCTGTAGACCTAGGATCTCCCTGACTTTTCTCAACTGTCCTTCCTACCTCTTAAGAAACTGGGCACTGGGGAAAACAACAACAGCAACAACAACACACACACCACTCACGACCAGGGAGAACCTAAATGGCGACGCAAGACAGTGGTGTTGAAGAGTCCTGCATTGAGGCACAGCTGAGGAGGGGTGAACATTTTGCTAATTTGGGTTCCCCGGAGGCCATAAATTTTTGGAGAGGACAGTCAAAGGCTAGTGCCCATTCTTGCACCAACCCAGGCCCCATGGTTTGGGGCTGAGAAGCTCCGCAAAGCAAGCGCGCAGGGACTCGTTCTCAGACTTCCCACTGGTGCCCGAGGCAGGCTGGACACAGCAGTGTGCCCTGAGCGCCCCCTAAGTTCCGCTCTGCGAGGTGGCCGCTCCCGGCGGACAGGGAGGGGCAGAGAGGGGCGGGTACGTTTGGGGTGGAGGAAGGGCTTGCAAGCAGCTGCCCGCAGGCCAAGTCACTAGGGTAAACACGCTGGGGTGGGCGGAGCGCGCGCGCGGCGGGGCTACCCTCGCCAGTACCTGTCGCAGCCTGCACGCGCCAGCGGCCAGGGGGGCCGCGGGAGTGGGGTGGGGCTTGCTTTCCGGCTGAGTGAGGGCTGGACCGAGCGGGGGCGGAGCCCGCGGTGATTGGGCACAGGAGCGGGGGCCCAGTAGGAGCAGAGTCACTGGGCCAGGCTGGTTTCACTTCGCTCCCTGCAGGCACTGGGTCACCAGCTGGTTGGAGCTCTGCGGTCCTTGCCGCCGTCGCCGTCACCGGATTCCTGCAGCCGCTCTGCGAACCGTGCCCCACTTAAATCTGCCCAACCTCTGCTGCTCCCCCGCCGCCACCGCCTCGGCGCCCTTCCCCTGGCCCTCATCCCCCCAATGTCTGACTCTGATTCTCGGACTGAGAAACGCAAGGTAAACTCTCCGCGATTCGCGATTTTCGGGGCGCAGGCCGGGGACGGATGGAAGAGAGGCGCCTCACCCGCAGAGAGTCTCTGGTGTCGCACGTGCGGGCGGAGGCGCTGGTTTGTCCCGCTTGGCGCGCGGCTGCAGGAGGCGAATGCGGCAAAGTCCGGCCTCGGTTCCTGCCTAGCAGGGCATTTCTGGGAAAAGGTCGTAGGCACAGAAGCTGCGGGTATTTAGCCGAAGTCTGGCTTGGGTCGGGATGCCGCACGAAGGGTTGTTGAGGCATCTTTCGCGGGCCGGGAGGGCGCGTAGACTCGGCTTGGAGGCGAGGATCCGCCGACTGCGCGTCCAGCCGGGAAGCGTCGCCGCGAGCCAGGCAGCCCGGGAGAAGTAGCCGCGCGTTAGCCACGGGCCGGTAGACTTGGCTCTTCGCTGGCGCTGCTTCATTGCGGAGGTTTATTAAAATCACACGCGCCCTGACTTTGCTTGTATTCATTCAAGCCACGGTTTGGCCACAGTGCCCGATTTTGTTGCACAGATGTCCCCGTCGGCCCGGTTCAGTTTGCGAGCGTCCTGTGGACGCCGAGGGCCACAGTATCTACAGGAGCCGAGAGATCGCGTAGGCGTCCCAGGACCACTTAGGGCACGCGAGTTCCGAGCCACGGGCAGCTGACTAACCGATCGGCTCTATGAAGCGGGATCGCAGCGGGACCCAGTCGCATAGGCTGGTGGCTCTGTGATCTCCCGGGCCTATGGCCCCTAGGCAGGCACTGCTTGTGAAAGGCTAACTGGACCCTGGGGGCCGGGGGTTTGGAGGTACATGCCCGAGAGACCCGAGATGGTCGTTCATATATGGTGCGTGTCGGTGACACATGGGGCACAACAGGTGAAGTTGCAGAGAAGTTCAGCTCGGGACAGCGAAGGCCATTACGGTCTTTGCCCCGAGTGGCCTGGAATGGGATCCTGGTCCTGCGGATCCCAGGAGGGCGCGGGTCCCGCTTTGTCTCTAGAGTCCCGCTGCCCAGGCGGCGGGAACTCCCGCAGGGCGCGCGGCGTCCGGACCGGGCCCAGGGGCGGGGCGGGGCGCGGAGCGAATCAGCCCGGCCCCCTAAGTTCTAGCCGGAGCCGCGGCGGCCGGCACAGCCTGAGTGGCGCTGGGCGGCGAGTTTGTCAACAATCGCCGCGCCTTCGGCTGCCTGACCCGTAGGCGCCGCCCCCGCCGCCTCTGCCCATTGGCTACGATGGGGAGCCACCGAGCGCGGGCCAATGGGGAGCATTGGCAGCCGGCGCCAGCGGCGCGGGGCTGGCGGTGCCCGAGCGGCGGCCGGAGCTGCGCGCGAGGGGCGGAGCGGGAGGAGGCGGAGGATGATCCCGGCGGCGGCCGGTGCAGCGCGGGCCAGAGGCGCGGCGCGCGAAACCTTAGGCTCCCCAGCGGAGCGTGGCGGCGGGCGGACGGGCAGGCGCGGGACTCTGGAGCCCACGGCTCGGCTTTGTTTTCCTTGCCTTCTCGGTGGCGACGCTCAGGGGTCGTCTGATCGGCGCTGGACACCGCGCTCGGAAGGGAAGGGGAGGACGTGAGTTTGCGAGGTGGCTCTGGGAGTTAAAGAGTCTACGGGGTGGAAGCAGCCGCGCGCCGGCTATTGCCGAGCGCGCGCAGCTAGATGTGGAACTTGCAAGGGGATGGCTCTGATGGCCCCCATTTGGAAGTGGACACATTCCGGCAAGGTTGCTCCCGAGAGAAATGGTTTCGTGTTTGGGGTGGCGCGCAGGGGGCTGGCAGCAGGAGGGACCTTGCGGCCGAGGGCGCTCGACCCGGGCGGAGCTGCGCTCGGAGTTACAAACTCTATTGTGACGCACTTACTACGACTGACGGCCGCTGCCAAACCTTCTTCAGACTTGCTGCCCTCAGCATTTTCGGCAAACAATGGGGCCGGAGCAGGGAAGGCGGCCAGCCGCCTGCAGTCTCTGCATCTGCGCCCGCTCCTGTGCTCCAGCGCAGCGTTTGAGCCCGGGAAATGAGAGCCCGCTGGGACTTTCATACTTGATACAAGTTTGTCCTGAACGAAAAGCACGAAATGTAGTAGACTTCCCACGAGCTGCTCCTCAGGAAACTTCTGTGCTTGTGTGTGTGCGAGAGCGCGCCAACCTCACAAGCTATCGAGTGGATACTTTGTTTTGTTTGGTGGTCCAATTTAGTTTCACCCGACACCAAAATAAACACCTTCATTATTTTGAGTGCACTTTTAATCTTACTCGGAAGATAGAAAAGTAAACATAAAGATGTGCGGTTCACTCTGGACTTTGTAAGGAGTAGGTGAAATGATTTTATAACTTAGTTCGCTGAAGATAATCTTTTTTCTCCTGGTTTTCTTGCAGAAAAAAAGACCAAATGGCCAAGCAACCTTCTGATGTAAGTTCTGAGTGTGACAGAGAAGGTGGACAATTGCAGCCTGCTGAGAGGCCTCCCCAGCTCAGGCCTGGGGCCCCTACCTCCCTACAGACAGAACCGCAAGGTAATCCCGACGGCGAAGGGGACCGCTGCCCCCACGGCAGCCCACAGGGCCCGCTGGCCCCAACGGCCAGCCCAAGCCCTTTTGCTACCAGATCCCCACTTTTCATCTTTGTGAGAAGATCTTCTCTGCTGTCCCGGTCCTCCAGTGGGTATTTCTCTTTTGACACAGACAGGAGTCCGGCACCCATGAGTTGTGACAAGTCAACACAAACCCCAAGTCCTCCTTGCCAGGCCTTCAACCATTATCTCAGTGCAATGGGTAAGCCATACCCGGGTAAGAAAAGAGGCAGTTGGTGTGTGCTTGTTTGAATATTGGTTCAAGGGTGTGGGTAGCATTTGAAGCCTCGGTCAAGTGACTTATTTTATATTTTGATGGAAATGGAAGATGTTTGGAGATTCCCGACAAATTTTTTTTAATTCGCAAATTTTGTGACATGAATTTATGGAGGTACAAACATCAACCTATTGAGTTGCAAAGTTTGAATCTCTGCAGCCTTCAAGCTGAAGCTTATAACCATGGTATGATTGCTTTTAAATGCTAAGCTTAGATATTAATATCATTGGGTTGGAAAGGGACCTGGTCAGATATATAAAATATTTAATAACCACCGGGAAGGTAAAGGAAGAGATGGACATGTTGGTCATTTCTGAAGACAGCGCCTGCAGAGATTGTGTGTCACAGAACCAACATAGAGCCCTGAAGATGGTTTTATGGCTAAATTCTCCCTAAAGCTCATTCTTGCTTTAAGGGATTGAATTTAGTATGGATGGGATCAGATTGTAGATTTTTATTTCAAGGGCTAAAGTCAGTGTTAGAATGTGTTTTTTAAAAAATATATTCTTGTTTTTGAGATTTCATTCATGCTACGGTTTCATTTGATTAAACTCATCCCCTCCCCCTAACAACTCCCAGATCTGTGTATGTGAGAATCTTAACCAAGAGTGGCAGAAAATATCAATGACAATGCACAGTAAAGCTGTTGAGGTAGGGTCAGTGGCGTTTTGGAGAGTTTGCCCCATCAGCACTGAGGTTCCCCCTACTGTGGCTGTGGGAACATGAGGTCTTAGAGTGCATCGCAACCAGGCCTGCGGGTTCCAAAGTCAAATGTCCCAACATTTAAACATTGACAACTACACTAGCTCCTTTAGTGAGTGTTAAAAGCCAGATTGAGACATCTGTAGACTTGATTTGACTCTTAGAACAAGCTTATGACTTGGGCTGTGCACATTTCTGGTTCACCCCAGGAAAGGATGGCTCTGTACGTTGCATCTCCACCAAAAACAAAAGTCTGTATCTTGGTCCTTCTCATCCAGAACCATGTTTGGTGTGTGTCCCACTAGCCAGTCCTGTAGAAGAAGACATCAGGAACGTGTTCATGGTGTCCGATAGCACATTTGGTATCTGAGCCATATGTTAGCTGCACATTGCCTGAGTTCTGGGGACTGTTAAGTCCTCTTAACTGAAAGGAACTGGAAGTCCTGTGTCCGTTATTACTTTAGCTATTACTGGCAGTAGTGTTCCTGAGCAGGCACTTGCCACCGTTCCACCCTGAAGCAGCCTAGGGTATGCACACATCTACAGCATGTGCTGAGTTAACAGGGCTCCCTGGTATATGTGCAGTAAAAGCTGCCTTTTAAGGACCCTCTGGAAGCTATTAGGGTTTTACACTGCTGGCCAGGCTAATGGTCTCTGCAGGTGGTGGGATAATCTGGGGAAATATTTTCTCCTTCCCTGCTAACTAGTGGACGAGTCCGTGCCTTTTCTAATGGGAAGATGGTCACAGTTGTTTTGTTTGGGGTCCCGTACTCTTTGGGAAGCCAATTACAGATCATTCACCATGATTGGAGATGACAGATCAGGGCTTTAAAGATCACAATCTCCATTTTTATACAGAGTTGATTGTTATACCTGTGCAGTAGTAATTGGGAGGATAGCTCAACATCTGGTAAGCTGTGGGTTTAAACTATAAGTTACGGGGGTTTGTGTGAAATTAATGCACCAAGGTAGGGTTTTAACAGTAAGTTCTTGAGAGATTTGATTGAGGAAAGGTTATGTTGGGATGGGGTGTGGCAGAAGTTACTGATGGGTAAGAGGACCTAGCCAGATATTAAGTTAAATACACTTAGAATGTTCACAAATATAGTGATATTTCATTTGTATTTTAATAAATAAAGCTTGCCTGAAGTTCAGAGAGTAAAACAGCCATCCACTGGCTCTTACCTCTTCCTCAGTCCAAAATGGCACCCCTGCCTCCAGGAATCCTCAGAATGAGACTGTGTGAGAGCTGTGTCCTCCCGTCTTATATTCCTCTCTAGTGCTGGGATTAAAGGTGTGCACCATTACTGCCAGGTTTCTATGGCAAACTAGTGTGGCTACTGGGATTAAAGGTGTGTGTCACCACTGTAAGGCTGATCAGCTCGGCTGCTTTACACTCTGAACTTCAGGCAAGCTTTATTTATTAAAATATAAAAGAAATATCACTGCACACACTGATGCTTTTTTTCTGGCTCTCCTTGGTATTGCTTCTGCCCATAGACTGCTGAGCTGAGCTGAGCTGTGGTCTCTATCTTTTTGGATTTCTTTAGTATTTTTTACTCAGCCATTAAGATCTTCAATGGTGCTTTTGATAAGTTATTGCAAAATACATTTTTCACAAAGGAGCCTTTATGATTGGTATGACCCACTGGAACACAAATGGGAGGTTACACAGAGGTCCTGCTTAGCTCGGGGCTCCTCTTCTCCCCTGGCAACATGTGATAGGAGACATGGAGTGTGTCTTAAAAGCTATGTCCTACCACGAGGACGAGATGTAGTGTTCCCTCCTGGGGAAAAAGCTATGTCCTTGTATCCTACCCTCACTAATGTGTTGAGAGAGAACCTAGGGCTTTTCCCATTGAGGTAAATTCTCCTCTACTGAGCTGAACCCTGCATCCTTGTGTCTTTACCATAGTGGGAAAGGAGAGTCTCATTGGAGATACACAGCAGATAGGTACTGTATTAGACATGGCTTCAGTTCCCTCCATATCCGGTTTTTCTAAAAACATCTTGAAAGGGCATTTTGTTTACACTGTGGAGATCAGTGTAACGGAACTACCCTTTTCCTTGATTCTTGCCTCCATACACTCTGGGAGAATTGACTTGACAAACCATTTCTTGGTGAACGCCTGATTGTCTTTAATAAAAAACCTTCCACACACCCACTGGCTGCCTTTTCTAGTGTCTTTAATGCCGGTATAATCTAGAAATGCAAAGTAGATGAACGTTGATCGACAGTACCGTCTCTGTGAGGTGTTTGTGAACGCCTCAAACTTTGGACTTGTTCCTGACATAGCAGAATTTGCGGGTGAGCGTTAATTCCCATTCTTCCTTGTATCCCTCAGCATCCTATGGCAAGTGGTCCCTTCTTTAGATGAGATCTCTCTTCGGGAAATAGGACATCCTTCCTATGCCAGAGTATGCCTAGCGGGAGATGTTGAGATCAGTGGAGATCTGTCTGGGAGCCTGTCCATAGGGTTGTGTTTTGTTTTTAGCATGCCGGGAATGGAATTGAGACCCCACATAGAGCAGGATTTGACAACACATATCTAATCCCAGCACATTCATGGTGAGATGGAGGTGTCCTCTGACCTCTGAGTTTGTGCCCTCTGTCACAGACACAACACACATGTGCGTGTGTGTATACACACAAGTAAATGGAGTGGTTTCCTGGGCTATCCCTATAGACACTCGTGTCACGTGCATACAGGGAGTGTTTCGTTTGTTTTCCTGCCCTATTGCACTAACCAGAACTTCGTAATTATGTTGGATGGAAGTCATAAAAGCTGTCTCAAGGGACGGCAGCTTTCTGTTTAAAGAGTAAAGCCATTAACCATATAACTATGTTAGCTATAGGTATTTTGGAGATACTTTTATAAAAGTAATAAAAATTAGGCCAGGCGGTGGTGGCACACTCCTTTAATCCCAGCATTAGAGAGGCAAAGGCAGGCAGATCTCTGTGAGTTTGAGGCCAGCCTCGTCTACAGAGCAAGTTCTAAGACAGGCTCCAAAGCTACAAAGAAACCCTGTCTCAAAAAACAAACAAACAAAAAAGTATTAAAAATTTGGAAATTTCACCCAGACACCTAAGTTCCTGAGAATTTTCAGAGTTAGGTTTTGATGATATGTTTACACAGATTCTGTTAGCCTCTTGGTGTGATGGATTTCGGTGTTGGATTTGCAGTGTTAATGTTCTGTATGCCTGGGATAAATCCTACTTGGGCAGAACATATTATTTGTATACACTGCTGGATTGAATGGAGTATTTTATTGAGCGATTTTTACACCTTGAGAGGTGTCTGTTATGGCTGACTGCTATTGATATTAAGGCCTTAATGAGTTGAGAAATAGTCTCCCTCTTGTATTTCCAGAAGAAACTATGAAAAAGCAGTATTAATGCTTTGGGTTTTTTTTTGTTTTGTTATGTTAAAGCCAGTATTGACTTCTCTTGTGAGAACGTGGTCTTAGATTTCTGGTGTTTTGAGTGGGGGTATACGTTTTAGATTCCAGACTTAATTCTGTGTGTTTGTGTGCTTTTGGGGGGGCTATTCTGGTTGTCAACTTCTTGATTATACTCTGGTAATTTGTGGGTTTTGAGAAAGGGGAATATTTTTCTAATCTGTTGAATGATTGGAAGAAGCATTTGTAGCATCCTTATTATTTTAGATGAATGCAGGTTCTGTTGTGATAACTACTGTGGCATCCCCCAACCACTGATGCATTTGAATACTTGGTCCCCATTGGTGGAACTGTTTGGGATGGATTAGGAGGTGTGGCCTTGTTGGAGGAAGTGTGGCAGTGGGGGCGGGCTTTGAGGTTTCAAGTGGCTGCAGTCAGAGATAATGTGCCCTTTAAGAAGGAGCCTAGGCAGTTTGGATGCTCAACTTACTAGACCTGGATGGAGGTGGGGGTTCCTTGGACTTTCCACAGGACAGGGAACCCTGATTGCTTTTCGGGCTGGGGGGGGGGACTTAATTGGGGGAGGGGGAGGGAATTGGGAGGCGGTGGCGGGGAAGAGACAGAAATCTTTAATAAATAAATAAATTTTAAAAAAAACTCAAAAAAAAAAAAAGAAGAGAGATGGGAGTCCCCAGCTGTAATTCCAGCTGCCACCCCATCTCTCTGCCATCGAAAGCTTTGGCCCTCTGGAACCTTAAACCCAATTACACTTTATTTTATAAAGCTGCCTTGCTTGGCCTTGGTGTTTTAGCTCAGCAATAGTA